TAATCTTCGTCGTCTGGGTCGGTGTAAAATCGAAGTTGTTTGGTCGATTTTTGCATTTAAGGTAAACTAAGGGTTGGGTTTTCAGATTTAAACTCAAAGTTTGGTCGAATCGGTGAAATTTGGGAATTTTGGATTTATACTCAAAGATTAGTTCATCGATTTTCAATTTCAGAATTTGATTTAATTGTTTTGATTTTGATAATCGATTTCTAATTTATCTGTTTATGTTAAGTATTTGACTTTGGTTCCCTTTATTAATTTAATCGGACTCATTTGCCCTAGTTTCTGCCTTTCTCTCTTCCATTTTTTCATTTACCCTAGTTTTTTGCCTCTTCTCTCTGTCTCCGAGATGAAGGCCTCCTCCGTTCTGTGTATTGTGTCTATCGTTGCTGCTTTTGTCTTACTTACGTATCTAATCCGGAGAATTTCAAAATCCCCCTCTTCTCTCTGTCTCCGAGATATAGAAAAATCGGACTCTCCGGTCAAGTGTCTCTGAAATCCAGGATCTCCGCTCCAGTCCCTCTAAAATCCAGGCTCTCCGCTCCAGTCCCTCCGAATTCCAGGCTATCCGGTCCAGTCCCTCCCAACTCCAGTCCCTCTGGACTGCTCAGAAGCGTGGACCTCGACGGACTGCTCGGAAGCGTTTTCGGAGAGCTCGGAAGCCTCTCAGTCGACGGAATGCTTGGAAGCGTTTCCGGAGACGGACTGCTCGGAAGCCTCTCAGTCGACGGAATGCTTAACAGTTTTTAGAAAAAACCCACACGTAGCGTGGGTATTCATCTAGTGAGATATAATAACTCTCCTATTATCATAAGCAAACAAGAAGAAAGTTGCTTGAGGAAGAATGACTCTTGATTCCTTGAATACGAGCAATGATAATCAACACAGTTTCTGGACTGATGTTGGTTCTGCAACATAGACATTAAAAAATCTCACATTCATATCAATAACACTAGAAACTGAAGCAAACAATATCTTAGCCAGAAGAAATTTACAATGAATCTTATATTTCAACAAGTCATAGAAAAATATTGATATCAAGGATCTCTCATATATTCAGAGCAGATCAAAAACCATTCTAATAATGAATCTACCAGAATCAAACATTGAAAAATTTAGCTTGAAATTAAAAACCAAACCAATAACTCACTTACAAATTAAACAACCAAACCAACACTAATTAGATATAAGAACTCACTTGTTAAAAGAGAGAGAGAGAGAGAGAGAGAGAGAGAGAGAGAGAGAGAGAGAGAGAGAGAGAGAGAGAGAGAGAGAGAGAGAGAGAGAGAGAGAGAGAGAGAGAGAGATAGAGAGAGAGAGAGAGAGAGAGAGAGAGAGAGAGAGAGAGATAGAGAGAGAGAGAGAGGGAGGGATGGAGGGGAGGTAGCTTATCTCTAGCTATTATTTTTTTCTCTAAACCGCTTCCGGTCTTCTTGTCCTCACTTTCTTCTTCTCCTTACTTCCGAGATCTTTCGCTGGTTCGTTGGTATCCATATTTTGATGTGGGAAGTGAAACATGTTTTGATGTGGGAAGTGAAATATGTTTTGATTTGGGAAGTGAAATATATTTTGATGTGGGAAATGATAAATGTTTGATGTGTGCTTATAATTAAAAAAAATCATCGTGAGCTCGTAAGTGACATTGGCTGACATTATCATGATGATGTCACATAGAAATGCATGATAACATCTTGGTTTTGTCATCGCAAATATTTATGACATTCTCTTACGTATGTCATCACTCAGTATAATGAACCATCCTGGGCACAAGACAAGTACATAATAGAGAAATCTAAGGAGAAATGATTGAATATACGGAGGTGAAAGATGAAGGGTGAAGACAAACCTAATATGTCACGAAATTGAGATGATTTGTTGGAAGAAATCAAGAAATTGGAGAGAAAATGGATTGAAACTTGAAAATGGAAAATGGTAGGAGGCGAGCCGAGTAGGAGTGGAACTATGGAACTGTCAAACCTTTGAAAATGAGAAAGACTTCTCTCGAAGTCTCAATTGTTTTTTATTTTATTTTTTGTTTTTTTGTTATTGGGTTTTTTAAGTAATTGGGTTATTTGGGTTTAATGGGATTATAGTTGTAACTAACGTTGGCCCTTATAGTTTTAGTTTATAACATTGAGCTTCATAGTTTTAGTAGTTGGGTTTAATGGTTGTTGGGCTTTATATTTTATATGTCTTGTAATATAAAACGAGGCGAGTAACAGGGCAAGTATCAAAACAGGGTGAGTAACGGGCCAAGTATCAAAAAAATTTACGATACTTGGTACTTGACCCTTACTTGCAAGTAACAGAATTTACCTACTTGTTACTCGACTTAACTATAGTGGGTACTTGAATTTTCAAGGCGAGTACGAGCCGAGTAGCGGGTACAAGGTGGGTAACGAGTATTTATGCCCAAGCCTAATAATGACATTTATTTTTTCTATGTTCACTTCTTTCCAGCAGCATAGATTAAAGCCCAGATATTAAACTACATGAATGTCCAATGATACCGAGATTACAGACACGATACAGAAGACCCTTATGTATTTTTTAGAAAACATCTATTTATTTATCATATGGCACTATCATTATAAGAGTTAACAAAACTATGTCAAAGATAAAATGTTCATCATATCAAATAGAAATCTTAGCTAGTATCCAAAAAAATATTAAGATTAAGGTAAAGATAATCTCAAAAGTAAAAAGAAATCCATAATTTATTATGAAAAACCAACTATTTCCTAAATATTAAGCAGATCTGGCAGTACATATGAGGATCAAGCGGTTCGAATGCTTCAAAATATGTGTTGAATTAATGTTGAAAGCGGATCGCCGGTGCGAAATTGTGAAAGCGGATCGCCGGTGCGGATGAAATATTTATTTTGTAGAAAATATTAATTTTAAATAAAATATTTTACATAAACTATAAATATTAAAAACAGTTGTATTAAAATAAATTTGCAATATTAGTTTAACATATTATTAAACATGCATTAAATTTTTTTACTTAAAAATACTATATGTATATAATTAACATGCAGTATATTTGTTTTATATGCATCATGGTTATCTCTTCCGTGTTAGTAGACTCCGACGGAAAAAAAAATAAAATTTAACGATTAAGTTAATTAATTTAAGTATTTAAGTATTTGACTTTGGTTCCCTTTATTAATTTAATCGGACTCATTTGCCCTAGTTTCTGCCTTTCTCTCTTCCATTTTTTCATTTACCCTAGTTTTTTGCCTCTTCTCTCTGTCTCCGAGATGAAGGCCTCCTCCGTTCTGTGTATTGTGTCTATCGTTGCTGCTTTTGTCTTACTTACGTATCTAATCCGGAGAATTTCAAAATCCCCCTCTTCTCTCTGTCTCCGAGATATAGAAAAATCGGACTCTCCGGTCAAGTGTCTCTGAAATCCAGGATCTCCGCTCCAGTCCCTCTAAAATCCAGGCTCTCCGCTCCAGTCCCTCCGAATTCCAGGCTATCCGGTCCAGTCCCTCCCAACTCCAGTCCCTCTGGACTGCTCAGAAGCGTGGACCTCGACGGACTGCTCGGAAGCGTTTTCGGAGAGCTCGGAAGCCTCTCAGTCGACGGAATGCTTGGAAGCGTTTCCGGAGACGGACTGCTCGGAAGCCTCTCAGTCGACGGAATGCTTAACAGTTTTTAGAAAAAACCCACACGTAGCGTGGGTATTCATCTAGTGAGATATAATAACTCTCCTATTATCATAAGCAAACAAGAAGAAAGTTGCTTGAGGAAGAATGACTCTTGATTCCTTGAATACGAGCAATGATAATCAACACAGTTTCTGGACTGATGTTGGTTCTGCAACATAGACATTAAAAAATCTCACATTCATATCAATAACACTAGAAACTGAAGCAAACAATATCTTAGCCAGAAGAAATTTACAATGAATCTTATAATTCAACAAGTCATAGAAAAATATTGATATCAAGGATCTCTCATATATTCAGAGCAGATCCAAAACCATTCTAATAATGAATCTACCGGAATCAAACATTGAAAAATTTAGCTTGAAATTAAAAACCAAACCAATAACTCACTTACAAATTAAACAACCAAACCAACACTAATTAGATATAAGAACTCACTTGTTAAAAGAGAGAGAGAGAGAGAGAGAGAGAGAGAGAGAGAGAGAGAGAGAGAGAGAGAGAGAGAGAGAGAGAGAGAGAGATTATTTTTTTCTCTAAACCGCTTCCGGTCTTCTTGTCCTCACTTTCTTCTTCTCCTTACTTCCGAGATCTTTCGCTGGTTCGTTGGTATCCATATTTTGATGTGGGAAGTGAAACATGTTTTGATGTGGGAAGTGAAATATGTTTTGATTTGGGAAGTGAAATATATTTTGATGTGGGAAATGATAAATGTTTGATGTGTGCTTATAATTAAAAAAAATCAGCGTGAGCTCGTAAGTGACATTGGCTGACATTATCATGATGATGTCACATAGAAATGCATGATAACATCTTGGTTTTGTCATCGCAAAGATTTATGACATTCTCTTACGTATGTTATCACTCAGTATAATTAACCATCCTGGGCACAAGACAAGTACATAATAGAGAAATCTAAGGAACAGAGACTTGCTATGATGAGACTCTGTTCGGTTATCTGCTGGGCGAAACAGAGCTACTGGGCTTCCAAGGACTATGCAGTGCATACAAGAAGGAGTATGTAATTTTTGGGCTAATCTGTCAACTGTCAGAAGCTTGATTAAGGCAGTACCTGCTCTGGTCAGAAACAAGATTTAGGATTTCTCACTTGTACGGATCAACACTCTGTTTGATTGTTATGAAGCGGATGACAAGTCTATGAGGATGACGATGATCGAGGGCAACAAAACTCTGTTCAGAATCAATCAAAGTAACTGGTTTTTATGCAAAAATGAAGGATATCTATAGCAAACCAGAGGTCTGAAGCTGTACAAGGTAATACACAAGTTGTTGCTCATCTTATATAGCTTGTGTATAGTCACATCCTTTGTGTGATTCGAACGAGATGTTGTTGCTCAAAGCCTCGACTGTCAACTTCTTATGGCTTAACACCCAGCTGTGGTTGGAAGAATGTGACTGGTTTTCAGCCATGTGTGCTCAAATCATGCGAAAGCTCTAGGAAGGCGTGTCATCTATTAAGAGGATATGAAGGAACGAACCCATAGGAGACAGATGGCTGAGGTGCTCGAAGAGGATTTGGCGTTGTTCATGTCAAATGGGACGATTACGTCGTGTCAGAAGCTTCATCTGAATGATATCTCAGAAGCCCTCAAGATAAAAGTTTTGAAGATCTGTTGTTGTAACTGGTTTCCTACAACTAATGATAGCTATGGTTCAAAAGGGTGTGCACGCATCGTGTACATGGTCATGAACAAGCTGAAATTCGATTTCGGCAGACTCGTGTTTGATCATATCTTCCAAATGGTCATGAATTTGGTGGTACAACATTCAGTATGACTTGTTGATATTGAAGCATTGCCTAGTAACTGAAAGCTATGAAGACATGTAGTGCAAGCTGCTGCCCAAGTCTTTGTGGTTGGAATGGATGATAATCTCAAGGCGATGAGACTGGTCATTGTAGTGCTTCAGGCTGAACGGCACTGTTATCAGGTAAGTGTTCTCATAACTTTGCTTACTGATGTGATACACCATCTTGTTTTTAACTTAGTTATGTACTCAAGCGGGGGGAGAATGATTTTGATTCTGATGCGCTTTGAAATGCCTAATGATTAAGTGATTCTTTACTTGTGGGGGAGAATCGTTTTTTTTAGGGGGAGAACCATTGCTTATGGGGGAGACTTAACGTTTTGATTAATTGGGTGATCTTAGGTTGATAGTAATCATCAAAATGCCAATTGGTTAAGTCTGATTGAAAGAACTATTAAGAACATGGTTTCCGCTGCAGGCCATTGTGGTCGCTTATGTTTAGGTTCTTAATCATAGTTCTGCTTTGTTACAATTCTCTGTTCTTTTATTAGAATATTTATCAGTCTGCTGGGACTTGTTAGAACTGTAATAATGTTGAACACAACAGTCTTTCGAGGTACTAATGTTAAGATCATTTCTGGATATTGGTATGTTGTTGTGTTCGGTTTGTCTCTCTGTCTTTGACTTTCAGGTTAGGCTTAGGATGTTGCTTGAGTATCAAACTAAGTCAAAAAGGGGGAGATTGAAGATGCAGATTCTGGATCAGCACGTTGTGCGCAGAACAGCTCGCTCTCTGAATTAGGAAGCTGCATCAGATCACATCAGACGCCTGAGTTGCTGACATGGAAGCAGGAAGCTGACGTGGCAGGACAGGAGTGGATGTGGTGACAAGACCAAGGAAGATTGCTGACTTGGCACAGGCGGTTGGGCCGGGCGTGGAGAATATTCTCTTGGACAACTAAGGAAGGGAAGAGCTTGACGAGCAAGTTATTCCCATAACAGAAGATCAACCGTGGAGATATGGAAGATATCTTCTACGACATATAAGGAAAGGATAAGCTTGAAGTGCAAGACTATCCAAAAGGTGATGATTCACGAGATCGTAACAAGTAGGGTTTCCTCGTGGTTGTATAAATAATCTAGAGCGGCCATGAGCCATAGTTGACACTCTAGATTATATTGATGGGGATTATATACTTCGAAGCCTAAAAGAAACAACAGGCTGAGAAGGGGGTGAGTGTTTTTTTTATTCTCTTTGTCGTTCATGAGCGGGTGAACACAAGGTTGAATCTTTGCTTAGGTGTGCTTTTGTCGGGTTCAAACCTATTGAGCGGGGTAGGTTGAGTAAGAGCCGAAACATATAAATCATTGTAGTGATCTTTGTGTTAATAAAAGCAAATATACAAGCGTTGGTTTGGCGCGTTCCAAGCAAATATCTGTTGTGCACTGTCTCTATACCGTTACACCCCATACTCATGTCTCATCTGATTATGATGTATTTATTCTCACGAATCTCACATGATGGACGATTTTTTGGTTCGTGTTTGATTTCAGATTCCTGAGAATTACTCAATTGTTTTCATGTTTATTTGATTTTGATGTGTTTTGTTTTTATAGGGAATATATACGTGTGTTGTTAATCAGAAAGAGTTTGGACACTTCAACACAACATATTAGTAGTGCATAAGCAATTAGGCAAAGGTTTGACAAAGGAAGCAACAGATATAAATAAAAGTATTTGTCAAAAGATATATATATATCAAATAACTCAGAACCAAATTCTGAGTATGTTGTAGTCATTAGGTCTCCGCCTTTGAATACAATTATGGTCGCGGGACAACCCTTATGTTGTAACGTGTTTTGAGGTGTAGCTAGTTCGTTGTCAACGTCGATTGTTTAGAATTTGAACTGATCTTTGACGTCTGAGTCCAACTGGTACAATGTGGGGAGAAGCCAATGACATGGTGCTCAATTACTGGGACGTTGGATTGGATCACAACTTCACAAGTGAATCCCATTCCGATTCGGAATGACTGTAAACTAGTTACATTAATGAACAAACAAAGATCTTCAATTAATAATTCAAGAAATCCCATATTGATTATTTAACAACGCTAGAAATAAACGTAAGTTAACCCCCAATGAAAAAAAACAAAAAAAGTTAACACCGAATGAAAAAACGATGACAGAACATGATAACCTTTGTTCAGGGTGGAGAGCCTGATTTGATGACAGGAGCAAAGATGATACTCCATGACTGGCAAAGAGGCTGTATTCCTTTCTTTGTCCCACCTCCTGAGGTAGACGACGTGGTGGCAGAATCAGAAGCAACAGTGCCAGGTATAGATGAAGAAGCCATAGCTGTTAGCTGATAAAGGTCAAGCAGCTGCTGCATTGAAAGCCATTGCTGGAATCATGTCTACCCAACAACAGAAAGATGTTCCGGTCCAATGAGATTTCTTTGACGAGATAGACCTTGAGGATGATAATAAAGCAAAGGAGTCAGATTCTGCCGAGTAATGTTACACTTGCAAAATTTTGTTTTTGATACTTGTAAGCCTTGTCTTAATCAAACTCAAAGTGAGACACTTATTAAAAATTATTTATCATTTATAAAAACTTGTTTTATTAGAATGATGTCCTATGAATTATGATGACACCAAAACTTGCAGCTTAAAGAAACTTGAGAAGTGTCTAAAAGACTTTGGAGGATGCAACACCTGTGTTCAGGTGCGCTCCTCATGCCCTGACGTCACCGGTAGAAAGTAGTCACCAGCGACTTTGCTGCCTCCACCTCACCACTGGTGTCTCTCCAAGACTATGGGTTCAATCACCTAATCCATCTAATTAAGTCATGACTCATAAGCCCATGTTGGAGATAATAATTAAAGAAGACAACATAGTTGATTATTTACTTATTGAGAAATATTGAGAATATGGCATATTTGGATATATTCCGTTGATTATTTATTCAAGGAAATAATTATTTTGAGTAATAAAGGAGACAAACAACATTCAAACAGCATAGTAAAGCAAAAGGTTTTGACAAAGGAAGCAGCAAACATATATAAACGGACGAGCCAAGGGAAATCACACGTACTGCTTGACAAGTTTCTTTATCATCTCTGGAGCAGGTCCGGTGAGTTTAGCCGCTTGGTGTCCGCCTTTAAAGACAAAAGTGGTCGGGAGAGCATTTATGTCGAAACGTTTTGCGAGGCTTGACTCAACGTCAAAGTTGACTGTGTAGAATTTGAACCTATTCTTGTATTCCGAGTCCAATTTGTTCAGTATGGTGATCATATAACGACATGGTCCGCACCACTGGGCTGAGAACATAACCATTAATGGGAGTTCTGATTGGATCACAAGTGAGTTCCATTCCGATTCAGTGATACTGTGTAGTTCATCTACCAATAGAAAAACAGAGATTTTACTAACACGTACTTATTGTTTTTTGTTTTAGATATTGTAGAAATAGAGTCTCTTGTGTTATACGTAGAAATAATTAAATAAATATTCGTAAAAACTAAAAGTCTAACAACGACCAATAAACCCAAATTAAAACTTTATTTTTTTACACAATTTCAAAAATACTTGATTTTAAAACAATTTTATGTTTTCACAATAGTACAATACCTTTTTAAAAAGAGGAATTCCTTAAAATACCATCATTTTAGTTTTCTTTCCAAAAATACCACTAATATCAAATTATTGTTCATAGGTATGAAATTTTAAATCTTTGGTTTGGGTTGATTATTTTGCAATTTAGGGTTTAGTATTTATGGGATAGGGTTTAGTGTTTAGAATTTACAATTTAGAGTTTAAAAATTTAAAATTTTATTTTATTTTGGTGGTATTTTTGTCCTAAAAACAAAAATGGTGGTATTTTAGAGAATTGCCCTTTTAAAAAGTGGGGTTTCCATAGTTAACTTACTATTATTATTATTTTGGTGAAGTTACCTTTAAGCTTACAGGAAGAGACCAAGTTTTCGTTAGACAGTAGTGGTGATGACACGTACTTCTTGACAAGTTCCCTTATCCAATATGGACTAAATCCGATGTATTTACCCATTTGGTCCCCGCCTTTAAAGACAATAGTGGTCGGGACAGCACTTATCTCGAAACGTTTTGTGACTTGTGAGGCTTGGCTCATCGTCAATGTCGACTGTGTAGAATTTGAACTTATTCTTGTATTCCGAGTCCAATTTTTTCAGTAAGTGAATTGAACGACATGGTCCATTACTGGGAGTTCTGATTGGATCACAAGTGAGTTCCATTCCGATTAAGTGATACTGTGTACTTCATCTATCAATAGAAAAACAGAGATTTTACAAACACGTACTTATTGTTTTTTTTTTTGTTTTATGTTTTAGATATTGTAAAAATAGAGACTCTTGTGTTATACATAGAAATATTAAAGGTTTTTTTTTGTCGCTATTCATAAAAACTAAAAGTCTAACATCGACCAAAAAACCCAAATCAAAACTTTATTTTTTTTTAACACAATTTCAAAAATACTTGATTTTAAAACAATTCATGTTTTCACAATAGTACAATACCTTTTTAAAAAGTGGGGTTTTCATTGTTAACTTACTATTATTATTTTTTGGTTAAGTACTTACCCTTAAGCTTTCCGGAAGAGACCAAGTTTTCGTTAGACAGTAGTGGTGATGACACGTAAGTCTGGATCAAGGGATCGAACTCTGAACACTTCCCACCACTAAACCCTAAACATACTAAGCACGTCACCGTCACTACCAAACGGTACAAAACCCTAATTTTCTCCATCGATACTTTCTGATCTCTCTATATATCTATCAAGTATCAACCCGTTTCAAGTGTTGGAATTAAACAAAGCCCTCTCTAGTCTGGTTTTATAAGGGTCCATGATTTACATTAACAATCACCACCACTTCTCATGACACTAGCTCTAGTTCACCGGTAATTAATGTAGTAGGCGTGCATTCAAGACAATGATAGAAATACAGCTCATTTTAAGGCAATTATTATCACGTTTTCCAAACTACACAGCTAAAATAAGATAAGGATCGTCCACATTCTCACATCAAAATTAATCCTTCCTTATCGTTTCTATTCCGCACAGAGAGTTTCCTGCCACCATTTATAGCGTTGTTCATTTTGGATAAAAGAGGTATTAATCACGCGATGTGTAGTGGAGAGTAGAGTACAATGCGCATAGATTTAGGAAGGGCTATTGGGTTATAATGGGTATATGCATGGGCCTTACCATTGAAATATGTTAAAAGCGTTTAAGCCCCATACTCATGTCTCATCTGATTTTTGATATGTTTATTCTCACGAATCTCGCCTCATCGACGATGGTTTGGTTCGTGTTTGATTTCAGATTCGTGAGACTCAACTGTTTTCATATTTATTTGATTTTGATGTGTTTTGTTTTTATAGGGAATATATAAGAGTGTTGGTAATCAGAAAGAGTTTGGACACTTCAGGAAGAGCTGCAAACTAGGATGTCTAGTAATTATAATGTGATTTTTTTTTTTTTCAAAGGAGACAATCAACACTTCAAGTCTTCAACACAACATATTAGTAGTGCATAAGCAAAGGTTTGACAAAGGAAGGCAACAAATATAAATAAAAGTATGAACCAACGGAAATCATATATATATATACTGCTTGACGAGTTTCAATAACTCAGAACCAAATTCCAGATATAAGTTTACCAAAAAAAATAAAAAAAAAAAAAATAATTCCAGATATAATTGTTAAGCTTTTTGTAAGAAAAATAAATGTTTTAGAGTAAACCGTGTTTTGTAAGTGCTAGTTGGGGAAGATAAAGACAAAAGGCAGCTAAAGATGATAATGAGTGACGAGTTTCAATAACTCAGAACCAAATTCTGATCGAGTATGTTGTAGTCATTACTCATTAGGTCTCCGCCTTTGAATACAACTATGGTCGGGACAACACTTATGTTGTAACGTGTTTTGAGGTCTAGTTCGTTGTCAACGTCAATTGTGTAGAATTTGAACGTGATTTATCAGACTGATGTCTTAAGATGACACCAAAGCTTGCAGCTTAAAGAAACTTGATAAATGTCTAAAAGACTTTGGAGGATGCAACACCTGTGTGTTCATGTGCGCTCCTCATGCCCTGACCGTCAACGGTGGAAAGTAGCCACCAGCGACTTTGCAGCCTCAACCTCACCACAGGTGTCACTCCAAGACTATGGGTTCAATCATCTAATAATCCATCTTAGTCATAATCCCATGTTGAAAGAGATAAGAATTAAAGGAGACAACATAGTTGATTATTTATTTAAAAGATAATTATTTTGAGTAATAAAGGAGACAACATAGTTGATTATTTATTCAAAAGATAATTATTTTGAGAAAAAAAAATAAAGGGACAGAGCCAAGGGAAATCACATGTACTTATTGACGAGCTCCCTAGACTCCCCTGGCTGATATCCGATGACTGTATCTGCTTCATCTCCGCCGATGAAGACAATAATGGTCGGGATTGTTAATGCTTCGTAACGTTGTTGGATACCTTCCGCTTCGTTTACATCGATTGTGTAGAACTGGAACCTATCCTTGAATTGCAAGTCTAGTCTTTTCATTTCGAGCTGTACCAGACGACATGGTGGGCACAACTTGGTTTTGAACAAAACCATTACTGGGATTTTGGATTGGAACACAAGTAAATCCCAGTCCGACTCAGAGATACTTGGTACTACATAAACGTCAATGAAATATAAGGTTTTAACTTTTAAAATGATATAAATAAACATTGGAGGACTGTAGCAAACAGTAAAACAAATGAAATATATAAAAATATGCACTTTTCTTATATAGAAATAGGAATTTTTTGTCACTATTCATAAAAACTAAAAATCTAATAACAACCTATAAACCCAAATCAATATTTCTTTATACCAAAATTTCAAAGGAAAAGTGGTTTTTCATATTTAGCTTAAGAAAAATATGCTTTAAATTTACCAGAGTAGACCAAGTCATTCTTAGACGGTAGGGATGATGATACGTAAGTCTTGATCAAAAGATCTGACTCTGAACACATCCCAACATTAAACCCTAAACACACCAAGCATGTTACCATCACGACCATGTGGTACAAAATGCTAATTTGTTCCATCGATACTTTCTTATCTCTCAATATCTCTCAATTTGTTTTGTGTTGAAAAAGAAGGCCTCTACTATGGTTTTATAAGCGTCCACGATTTATATTAACAATGACCATTATTTATTTATTTTTGATTATCATTCAACATTATTTGGGAAATGTGCACGTGTATTTTAAGACATTATTCAATTCTTCCTATTCAATGATCTAAAACATATAAAAATCACAATAATCATTATTGTTATCTTCCCCAATTAACACACTTAAAATAGTAACCACGAGTTTCCTCAAACATCTGTCCATTCATAAGTAAAACTACACAAGCCTCCTTTTTTTTTGATATATTAATAAATGAGAGAATATTCTCTTATAAATTATAATATGATTTGTTTTTCATCGAAATGAACTTATATTAAAAAAAAATTCCACACCTTAACTATCTCTAATGATACAACCACGTAACTTGG